TTTGAAATCAGTATTTCACTCTCTTTTTATGTCCCCATTTCATAACTTTCGTCAAATTCGTCGTCGAGACAGTAAATACTATAATCAAGCCCTGAAGAACAGATTCGACCATGGTTCCCATATAAACGTTTGCGTTTGAAAAAACGCGTTTTGTTTAGAAAGTGAACCAAACTCGTTCGAATACATCCAGAATGAAACATCTGGACGCATCGAAACGCGTATGATTACAAACGCAAACCAACCACGTTTGGGACCATGTCCAAAATATATCGACGTGATCTTTTCGCCGTACAATGTATTTTGTTTTTATAATTGCTTTTTCAACGAGGCATTTATTCGTTATCATAAACCACTTCGAAATGGTACCCATTTACTTGACTTCCAGATGTGTCGTGCTCTCGACAAATCATAATGTACGACGGGAAAAGAAATATTGACTCTCCAAAACATTTTTGTCAATGAGAAACTGTTGTTCGATAGTTTTGTTATCGATCAAGTCATTGAACATCATGATCAATAGTTTCATGAATTGATCGATAATTTATGGATGTTGGTTATAGCTTAAATATTGTTTTTTCTTCACGTGTTGTGAAGTTCCACTCTCTTGCTTATACGCAACAAGAAAACTCACAGAGTTTTGTTGTTTCGTTTTCTGATTCTAGGCGTCATAAGTGTTTTGATGATATTGTTTTACTTCTAAACTGAATGATGCTTCGTACGGTTTTGTAAATACGTACAGCAAGGAGCGTTTTTTTTCTCATAACCTAGCCTTTCAAAGTTTTCTACCTGCTGCAGTTGTCTGTAAATTTCCTGACAAATATTACGCGAAGTGTAATACTCTATATCAGAAATGTTCCAGTTTCAGATATTATACATAGAAAAATAGACGATATTCACTTTATCTAAACCAAACAATGCCACAAGAACCTAAGTTATTCGACACGTGCATGCAGAACAAGTTCTATTTTCAACGCCAAAACATTGACTTAATTACCCTGTTTTTGTAGATTGCTTTTTTTAATTGAATTTCATACTCGTTTTTCTCTGTGATAATGTTAGACTTTTCTGTTTATTGCACAAAAAATCTGCTAATTATTATCTGTAGATTAAAGAGTTTTCGATTTATTGAGGTGAAATATATTTTCCAGCAAACAATATCGTACGAGTTTGCCTATTATGGATTAAAAAAACAAACGGACGGTTACATGTAAATGTAATTGCATCTCTAAAACCCGAAGTCCCAGGCAACATGCTATTTGCACTTGCTGCTTGAACACCATTTTCATTAACATCGATAACCGAATTTTGTACTATATTTTCTATTACTAATCGATTTGTTCCCATGGTCGCTAAATATATACCAGTGAAATTAGCTTTAAAATAATCAAACGCGTCTTTCATACCAAAACGAGTGAGATGATCTTTTAAACTATCGACAACGTATTTTATTCGAAACTTTGGCAATAAAAGATCTATCCTTTTGAATTCTCCTAATGAATGACGAGTGAATAATCTATGATAGTTTTTAATTTTTTTTTCAACATCCAATAGTTTAATATTTTTATTCGGTAATATGATGGTGAATGTGTATTTCGTGTTATTGTCGTCGCCGATGTAATATCGTTGATGAATCATTTGAGCACCCAATTCATCGGTTAAATCAAAATATTCAAAACGTTCGTTTTTGTACATCAGAGTGAAATTTAATGTTATTGTACCATCGTCTCCATAAAATTTGTAATTACTTCTTGTATCATCTCTATCAAATGGGAACAACCATCGAGCTGAAGTAAAAAGAATAAAACAAATATAATGTAGTCATCTGATATGCAGGGCTTAAAATTGTTTCACGTACTCCTGATAAAAGTTTTCTTGTTTTGCAACTGTCTCTCGATCCTGAGTGACTCAGCAGTTACAATTTCTTACTGGATAAATAAATTGCGCCGTTTCTAGAATAAATGGCTTACCCACACTTTTTTCCGAATAAATGGCTATGCAGTTGCCTATACGGGAGGGTTGTC